TTCGCATAAACGTTATCCTGAAGGCAATACCATTTATCCTAGATATAAGTAATTCATTTTGATAAAATAAAGAAAAAATAATGACTACGCTAGTCGAAGAAAAAGCGCTTTTTCCTCTTTAAATAATTAGATTACAAAGAGAAAAGGGTCGCTTCAATTCTCGCTAAATACATAGATTTTTCGCGACTAAACATTTATGATCCCGTCCTTCTACACTTTTTAAATTTTTATAATTTAATTTAAATGAATCAGAAAGACCGGGGGGATCGTCTAATCTTGTATTACACTTACGACTTCTATATGATAATATTTTTATTTCCCTTATTGTTCGTGTAGTGTTTATATTAGACTCTCTTTTATGAGTGTTTAGATGATATTATTATGTATTTTTTTTACATAAATTCCATCAATAAATGCATTTAGAAATAAATTTTATTACAAAATCCATTCGTCAAATTGTTTAGATTTATTTAAATCTAAATAATTACTATATTTAGATTCTATAGAGTATAAGTTTGTAAGTAATGCGAGTGAATTTTACATTAAAATTCGCTAATTTTTTTTTAGAATTTTAGGGACTTAAAATAGGGATTTAGGGGAATTTAAAATTAAATATAATTTTACTATATTTTCTAAACATTTATTTCTTTAATTTTTAATTATATAAATCAACTAGGAGAAATTTCTGAGTTCAATTTTAACACAGACTTTAGTATCAAACAAATTTTAGCTTCCATTTTTATTAGAATATACGAAACTACTCACAATAGTTTATAATGTAACGTTAATGGTACTGATCTAACATGTGTGACGTGAAAATTTTACAATTCACTTATTTTAAGATGCTTCAACAGCAACTAAAATTGGATCAATTATACTAATTTTTAGGGAAAAAATTGCTATTATTTTATTTATTTTTTTATCAAAATGTTCTAGATTTAAAAATATATACTCTGAGAATGGAGTGAAACTTTTTATTTTCTATAAAAATCAAATAAATAACTTAACAAGCGTAGAAATTATCTTAATTTTGAATGGTGAGAATGCTTTAAAACGAATTGATTTATTTATTTTAATGTAAGTAGGTATAAAATATAATTATATACACTAAAATCTATTGCATGTAAAATTTAAATTACATTAAAAATTTTAAGTCTGTGTAATAAATTAAATAGAGAATAATCACAGAACACAATTAGCTTAGTTCATAGCTTGAGCTAGCTCTTTTCTTTGAATAAAAGGTTAATTTCTTTACGTGTTAACCACCGTTTTATACGTAATTTTACATCGTAATTTTGTTCTTTATAACAAGATTAATACGATTTAATTTTGAATAAAATCCAATATTTCTAACGAATTTACATACGACATAAGTTTGTAGACACAGTAAAAACTTTGCAATTCTGATTTACAGTCTACAAGCTCTTTAAAATCTAGCATGAAGTTTCACAAATGGAAGGATGGTTACAAGCTAAACCCTCCAAGAAACAGTTTCCTTTTTTTCTATTACAAATAAGGGTGGTTTCTGTGTGATGTTGCTCATCGTGTCTGAACCATCCCGTTAATACAATGAACACAGCATTTTTCTCCCCCTTTCTTTCTAACAAGTTCGTTTTATATTCAGATTCTTTGAATTTCCATCGATGCTTTTGGCCAGTGTCTCCAAACTTTTTGGCCTGAAAAATCCATTATTCGTCTCCTCTTTAAGTATCTCGCTCTCGAGGGATCGACCCTCAATTTTAGAAACACTGTGGCAGACTAAACGTGTTGAAATTCGAGTTTTTTTAAATCTCTTGTGATTGGGAATTTTATTCTCTCAAAAATATTTCAGAGAAGACTTTAGAAAAAAAAAAGAAAAAAAAAACGTAATATATGTTTTCATAATCTGATGATAATTCTTCTGGATATATGAAAATAAAAATATATCCAAATGGGTAGGGGGAAAATCTGTTTACAGTTACATTAGCAGTAGGAGAAAGGAGAGTAAAACGGATTTTCTGAAAGGGGAAGCAAATAAAATGTTTGGAGAAAAATTGACTTAGACTATCCATAAGTCAAACGTCAGATTCTAGCTCCTGTATGCAGACTAGATTTGAGCCAGTGAATAAATAAATTGATATAAATTGATATGATTTGAATACGAATCTCTGTCTCTACCCTTTCGGAAGATGCATTGTTTCATTTATTGTTCCATTAACAAAAAGTTGGCAAGGTCTAGTTTATCTTTAATAATAAACCATTAAAGGGTGCTTCATCATTAGCTGATGAAGATCTCTGGAGAGAATTTTTAAATATAGCCTATATATATAAATAAAGGTTAATCTTTGTAAATATTATCTATAAATAATTTCGAGCTACCCTTTTTTTTTTTTTTTGGCAAATAGTTATCAATAGTTGTACAAAGAAAAAAAGAATGATCAAAGGCAGGAGAAAAATAACGATGGTCACTAAACGATCTCCAATTGTCAAAAAAAGTGACAGATGTTTAGAAACGAAACAGGTTGTTTTTTTATCGTCGAAAATTCCGTCAACAAGATAAAAAGGCGCTAGAACATAACGTAAAAATTGTCAGTAAAAGGTCAAGAACTTCGACGAATTGATCCGGAGCTTAATCTTGTCATTGCAAGTCACATCTGGACAGTCAATAGATTGTGATCAATGCGTTTGTACTCAGTTTAAGACGAAACAAATGGATAGCATTCTGCTGACCGCTAGTTCCGGATAAGATAGAGAAAAACATCAAGTGCAAGCCCCCCCAATCTGTCTGATTCTCATCGGAGAATCCATTTGTTCTAACGTTCACAACTAATCTCTGTTTAAGTAGCTGACATGGATTTGACACAGTGTCGGCTGACAACGAGCAAACTTGGTATTCTACCCCCTAAATTCGTCTTCCCCAATCTTTGTTCTAGTGTCGCTGTCTTCACGTTGGCAACTTACTGAAAGTTGCTGCATGTTGGGTAATTAGTTTGCTGACAATTAATGTCAGATCTTGTGTCAGACACCTGGACCTGTGACAACCGACTGCGACTTGCCAACTTCCAACAAAAGATGGCAACCGGCTTCCTTATGGATTCTTTACTAAATAGATAATATAAACTCACTCGCAGCACAATCTTTTTTTTTACGTACAATTTTATAAATTTACACGAAGCATCCTCGTAACTTTTCATCTCCGAGTTAGACTGATATAAAAATGAAATATGGCTAGGGTACTTCTTATGCAAGAAAAGAATGGAAGATTTAATGGATTTAATTAATAAAAGTTGACGTCTAATCAGTTTAATAGTAATTAAGAACGATTAGTTATTAAAATTAGTCCAACTCTCTAATTGATTTGCCATTTTATAAATTAATCTGGGATAAAAACTACCGGTCTTGAATCATGGCTGCATCGGTTATGATTCAAAATTAAACAATATTATCGAGAATACAATGGTAAGCAATCGCCATTGATTGACTCTTTTCTTATAAATCATGAATTTCCAAGCACAAAGATAAGGATAGCTCCCACGGATCTTCTGTTTGATGTCTCTCTCACATAACGTAAAGTCAACATTGGGAACTTTATAATCCATTGGTATGGACACCAGATTGAAGGACTACCCAGCTTGGCAAACACTGGTGTCTAGATTAAATGGCACAGTTTAGAGGGATATCAAGAGGAAGGGGGGGTGCTATCACGTATTATTTATTATCTTCATACATTTTGGCTGCCAATCAAATTAAGGACGGTATTACAGTCTATCGGGAACTAGTGGGTAGTCTGATGGGGTGAGTCAGAGTTGAAACACTACTTTAATTCTAACAATGATAAATGGGCATCCATAGTATTGTGTTCGAGATTCGAGGCCTAATTAAATTAACTCTATGAATGCAATATGATTAGGGAAACAGTGAAACAGGCTGTTTGTTAATTGAATGCTCTCGCTTTTATGCCTGTTGGATAGAAGGGAGAGAGAGAGAGAGAGCATAAATAGGAAGTTCGGTGGTAGATGCGGTCTCATACACACTTAAATTTAATTTATAAAAGTAATAATAGTTTATTCGGTTATATAAATTAAGCGAATTCTAAGTGCTGTGCTTAAATCGGAAAGTAAATTTAAATGGTGTTTTAACTATACGATTCCTTTTTGCATTTGTGCGCCGGAGAATTAAACTTTGAAAATAAAATAATCGCATTCTCGGTAATTTATTAAAAAGTAACGATCTCGTTTAAATTTATTCTTGACCAGATAAAGTTTGCATAAAGTTAATAGGCTATAGTAACAATTAAAATGCATTTATAAGCCATTACTTAAGTTGTTTTTAGTGAAGTCATTAGTTCATTTTTCTCCATTTCTATTCTTTATTTTTACTTGACCGGGAATTAAAAAGAAAAAAAAAAGAATTAAGACCAAACTCTGTCGCTATCTTCTTTTAATGTATTGTTCTTATTATGTCCTCCTCTTCAAAGATCGTGCAGGATATTTATTCGTCCCTTTGCTGTCATGTAATGCCCGTTAAAAAGATCAAGAAAGAATAGTCCATTTTGGTTCAAAAATAAATGGACTTTTAAAAGGCATAATGTCCCCTAAGTGGCCATAAAATCCCATCAACACACGTGCACAGGCGACAGGCCAAAACCCGCCCTGCTTCTTAAAACTGCGCATGCCAGACACGCCTGGTGTAAGGTCACTTCCGGTCACGAGCTTTCGGTTTTCACAGCTTCCGGTGGCCTCCTCCTCGCTCCGCATCTATTAAGTGACGTCCTCTGAGATGGAAGAAGACTGCTCATTATTCGGTCTCTTAGCAACCATCTCCCAATCACGTCACATCCCGCTCCTTTGAGGACGTAGCGATAACCAATGGGCTTTCGGCAAGTTCCGATCTTTTACCATCGTCTGCTGGACCTCTTCAACTGTCCAGTTCAACCGATACATTTTCTGTAATTCTCAATAACAAGAATGAAACAATATTTTCGCCCACGCTTTCTAAATATAGACGACGTCCCTTTACAGATGGACTAGCGATGTATTCTTTTATCAGAGACAACACGGCATCTCAACAGATGGCTCTAAAGTCACCTTACCAAGCTCCACATCCTCTCGGACATCTTTTGACTCGCCCGCCTTTTGCGATGTTGCCTTTCTATGGGAATGCCGCTTCTCTCTACCGTTTCGGCACCGGGCTATCTACCACATCTCAAGACGTGTGCCGCCCTTCGGCATCCACCGTTTCTGACGTCACTTGGCCTCCTATGCTGACGGGTCACACGCCTTGGAGTGAGCAGCTGGCTAACATTGCAGGTATGGAAGAAAGGCTCGTTTATTATTGTCTCGTGCCAGACTCGTTTAACGTATTTTTAATGTCGGATGATATTTTGTAGCTAGAAACCAAGCGGAAACATCATTGGCACAAGGCAGGAAGAAGGCCTGGAGGCCCACTTTTTCCGGTCATCAGATTTACGTTCTGGAAAAGACATTCGAGCAAACTAAATATCTAGCAGGACCAGAAAGGGCTAAATTAGCATACGCCCTTGGAATGTCCGAAAGTCAAGTTAAGGTGAGTACAATCGCAATTATTATTAAACTTTTAAAAATTAATTTTATTCACAAATTTAATCAGGTAAATTACAATTAACCCGTATAACAGTTGCAATTCTAGTAGTGGTAGAGTCAGTCATTTTTTAAATTTAAATTTATGAATAAAATTAATTTATTAAATTTATAATTTTTTATAGGTTAAAATAATATTAATTTTTATAAAATTTGCTTAAATATTCATTTAAATTGCATAAATATTAATTCTTATAACTCTGAAGAATAAAAGGAAAATGTGATTTATGGTAAGCAAGGATATAAAATGATGATGGAGATGGCAAGAAGATAGGAGCGATCATTAAATGCATGAATATAAAATTCATGACAATTTATCAGGCAAAAAATAGAACAAATTTTAATTCTATTGATATTATTTTTTTATAAATTTCATTTCTTCTTTGTTTTTCTTATAAAATTTCAAAATTGAAACGTAGTCTTATCCCAACGACTTTAACTTGATCAAAATGACAATCTTCCGTTATTATACGGTTTAACAGCAATTCCAATACAAAGTCAGCAACTTAATATTAATTCCGATATCAAAATTCAGTCATTCTTGAAAATCGATATTAATTTGTATTATTAATCAGCTTATTAATATTTGTACCCAAATGTAATTGCCAATATATGACAATTAACATTAAAATGAATTCAATTAAATTTAATATAAATTAAATCAAATTTTGAAATATTCTTCGTAAGAATTTATTAAACGTTAATGCCTTTGGATTCCATCCGAATTTGGTAGGTAACAGCCACGAATTTACTCACCCTCCAAAGCCTGACACGTGTCTAATAATTTAATATAGGGCCTGGTTCTAGTTTTATCAAAAATCATTTATTTAAATTGCCATTAATATGTATAACACGATGAAAAATCGAAGTGTGTATCAATATTAATGCAATAAATGTTATCAGCGTGTCTTAGATGCCGGCTTACACGTTGGAGGGGAACGTTTCGTCTTCTATTTTCATCTCGTGTTCATTATTTAGGGACTGGAAACGATAACAAGACCAGATAACTTTATTCAAATTCATGTTAATTAAGTAATATCTTCTATGAACGAGTATATTGCTAAATAATAGTCTCTTAACAAGATCGTTTACAATAGAAATTTGCATTCCTAAGATTTTAATTTCTCCTTTGTTTAATTATACAAACATGTTTCCGATAACCTCTATCGGGGCACACTTTAATTTTATCTAATTATGTTTGTGTTTAGTAAAAATTTAATAATGTGTAATTAGCGATTTCAATGGTTATTAAAAGTAATCATTAAGAGTGAAAAATATCTCGTATTGTATAATACACAGTGCCTTTAATTGTGTAAGCATGTTTTATTTATATTATATAACCTAATCTGTAAAAACTAAATCTAATTAATTTATGCTCCTGAAAGTATTATTTATATAGGTTAAATTGGATAATTATTTAATAAATAATTTAGAATAGTTTTGCATTATTCTCTAGTTCGTTGTATAGTTTAACCTTCCTTGTATTTAATAAATAGATTATGGGTATTAATACTTATGTTTAAACTTTTCAAAATAGTTTTATAATAGTCTCTGTGTTACTAGAAGCAAAGATTTTACGCGTAAAAACATTTTAAATCAACGAATTTAAGTATTTATAGGGATGATGGCTGAAGTTCACGCCATTCGAATTGAAAAATACACAGTATAAATGAGGTTTTATTTGAGGGAATTTGTGTAGTTTGAAGAATTCTTGTGTTTAAGTGCAAATTAAAAGGATAAATTATTAAAGAGTGATGCCAGAGCAATCAAAGAATTACCCAAGAACTTATCTTTTAATAGTACAAAGTGAAAAGTTATTTTGTTAAATTAATGAAATTGCAAAATAAACATTTGTCATTTTTGCAATATTAATTGAGTAAGAAATGATCATTTTGCTAGTCAATTTTTAATTAAAAGTTTGATTGTTATGTCATATCCCTCGGTTGATTCTGTTAATGGCATTATAGTGAGCTTTTGCAAAGACAATTTCCTCTTTCCATTAGCCTTGGTCGTTACTTCTCCACTTCTTAATTCAATAAGGACATCTTTACTCAAGGATGCATTTAATTATCAATTAGGGTTGTTCCTTAATCAACATGATTTGATTATTGTGACAAATTGCTACTGAACGATCTTTGTTTTCGAATCTTGTTTTGATCACGGCCATTAATTTAATGCTTGCCCTATTCTGGTATACATAATATACTTTTTGGGTAGACGAAAAAGTGGGTCCTAAGTCGATATACCACTTAACTGTACCACTTAGCGGTTTGCTGGGTACGTACCAGTTTAAACTTTGCCTTAGTTCGATGTCCACGTGACAGTGCTCCGGCGCAAATGTCGAATATGGTGCGGACTTCTTGATCCATCCTCTGGTCCATCGGTTCTGGTAGTCAATCAATCGACAGAACAGACGGTCATCAATCAAATTTTCTGCGAGTTGGCGGAAGAAGTGGCGACAAAACTGCTGTCTTCTCAGGTGGCAGATGTGTCCAGCCTCCTGGTTCCACTTGACAAATGTAGTCAAGTCTATTACCGTAGGAGGGGGTTTAGATGGAAATACCGAGAGAAAGAGCAGAACCTCCATGCTGAACATTATCCCATGATAAATGACCCTTTGTCATAATCTGGCAAAACGAAGATATTAAAATAGGAACATTCTTCAACGTCGGACCGATTGCTCGAGCGCCCTCTGCTGGCTCGAGATGTTTATTTCACGTATCTATCAATCAATTGGCCGTCACGAACGAATTTAATTTTAGTAATGTCGAGTTTTTATATATATTTTTTTAGGTTCCCGTCTCCCCGCTGGCTTACTAAAACTTTTCGTCGGAAGAAGAGAATTGAATGCCGTCAGTTTGATACTCATTCGTTTTACCCAATGGCTTCATGGTAAGCAATGATGGCTTTCCTCTCGGCTCGCTTTCAATGAAGTGGGTCCTAATAGTTGCTGCCAAATACGTTTGAAGAAAATTAAGGCCTGTCAACACTTAAATCTACAAATGCACGAATCCGACTCTATATCTTTTGCCTTTCTTAACAGTATTTAAAGCCCATTATCTCCAATTCTTACCAATTAAATTAAAATTACACTTGACTGACTAAACATTGGATGATTTTAAGTTCGATTTATTGACTTTCCGATTCGTTTCGTACCCATAAAACTTAATTTAAAAGTTTAGTAGGAATTTTTGCATACTTCCCGAGAAATTTAAGTAGGAATTAATGATTAAGAAGTCGAATTCATTAATATTTTATTCTAGTTTAGTAATTAGGATTTGCCTTGGAGACTGTGTTTACAACTTGCAATACGCGAAAAAACATTCCTAATTTCTAATTTCTTTCTTGCAATTGAGAGATATAACAGTATAAAAATGAAATAGTTGATGAAATATTTTATTGCTGTGCCAGTCTATCTTCAGACACAAGAAATATATAGAAGCTTATTGACCTTTCTGTACAAAAAGATAAAAAATTGCTTTTAAGAAGAGGATATTTGAAGCGGAAAGTATTTTTTAAACAACAATTTACTATTCTAAAATCATTTTCTAAAAATAAAATTTCACTTTATTTCACAGAGAAGAAAGGGTCAACACTTTCGTGTGAAGATATTTATTATTTTTGTAAGAACAAAATAATAAAGAATTTCGTTAGGTCTTTATATATTAAGTAATAAAAATAACAACAGAAATTCTGAGTTGGGCCAAAATTTTTATCACTTTTAACCGAATTAAAATCGGAGTTTATTTATACCATACATAAAAAAATTGAAGGGAAATTAATTTAGGAAAGTATTTTTTTAGTTAATGTTTATAAATAGTTATATAATCAAATCTTTATTCTTAATTAAGATTAAACGATTAACACAATTATTTAATAAAAGGAAGTAGAAAAGTATAACGAGATTCAATAATTACTTAATAATCAGAGGAGGGAAAAAGACAGCAACCGAAAAAGGAAAGAGAAAAAAGAAGTCGTTAGTTATTTCGAACTACTTATTTAAAATCTCTTTTCTTATAAATTCTCCATTTAGCGAATAAAAAAAGAAAAATTAAAACAAACATATCGGGACCAGATAGGAAGGAGGAAAGAAAAAGGAAGCGAGAAGACAAGTTGTAATAGTGTAAAAGAGAAAGTGTCAAAGGATCAGGTTGCTATAGCCATTTCGCTGATGATCATGTAAACAGTCATTAGTCGAAGCTTATTCTTGCCTGTAGTTGATGGGAGACGTCAGTGCTGGCTTATCGCCAGCCACGGCTGCTGGTGTGTATAAATCATTGGGACAAATCCCACTGTCAAATCTGCCTAAGTGCTCGGATCGTTTGTCTCCAAGTCGGTGCAATTATCATGACAAAATGGTACTGTAATCGCCGACTTTAATGTACGTCAGCCACTACGATAGCGGCCTCTCTAATTTTAGATGTTTGCTTCTCAAATCGACCCTTTCTCAATCACTTTCTATGTTGGTGTTGTGATTGATTAAAGATCTGGCACAAGATCGTTCCTCCTCTTTGATGCCATCGACTTTTGAATATTTGGAAAACGAATTGACTTTCTTCCTCGATTTCCATTCCTGATAATTTTGATATTAGTCAATGTATATTGAGTCTCTCGTCTGATTGCAATCTGGTGTATTAGGGAATGAAGTAGAGCCCAGGGCCAACTTTATCTGCTCTCTATCTTAGAAATTCTTAAATGGAATGTTGTTTCGTAACCTAATGTAATATTCACGTGATTGAATAATTTGTAAAGTATATTAGATACGTCTACAAATTTGAATAATAATCCTGGAAAGATCCGCTGGAATACATTGAAATTACTTTACTCTATTAAATTGCTAAGTTTATTTTGTTTAGATTTAAACTTCATCCTTAACAAGATCTTCGCTATTTCTAACTTCAATTAGAATTGAAAACTTAATTATATAAACTTTTGTTTTAGAGTATTCTTCTCTTAAGTGTTGTATAAATTTTCTTATAAATTACTTTTTAAATTGTTTTATTATTTGAGGTTTTATGTAAAAGGAGTAGTGCCCTTTTTTTCTATTAAACGGAGGTGTAAAATAATAGAAATAAATATTATAGGCACGCTTTATAAAGGTGATTCTATTCAATCAAGTTTATGTGCTTCCTATTTTATTCTATATTCTATTATTCTACTTTATTATGTGTTTATATTATAATTAAGCATTATAAAATTTAAATTTTAATAAGTTTAATACAAATTTTCCTTTATTTTTATATAGTTTCATTAATAAAACTTCAACACAGATTAAGATTCTAACACATTCAAATAACTTATATTAATTTTTAATTACGCGCTAATTTATTTATCAAATTAAAGGCTTATATAAATAAATATATATACAATAGCTCTTTCTATCTTCTTCATAAATATTTCCAACAATATTTTTAAATCAGAAATTATTTAAATCGTTAATCTGTAAGAGGAGAGCTGATAGAGAACGTCCAACCGTGGTGAAATAATGGGAATAATCTATACATAATTTATAAGTGTATGATTAAAATAAGGTTTTTGTGTAATGCTAACAGGGTAATATAATGTGTTCTGGTGTTCCCGTGTAGGTATGGTTCCAAAATCGAAGAACCAAATGGCGGAAAAAGAATGCGGCCGAAATGGCCATAGCTAAATCCAATTCGACAGACTACGAGTCAACTCTCACCTATTCACAGAACGAAGTATGGCGTCCGTCAAGTGATTTGAAATCGGCGTGATGTCCCTTTTCATGTTATAAAGGGGGAAGGACATCTCGACAGGTGGCCGAGAACATCGTAAAGAACAGTTTTACGAGAGAGCGAAGTTACTCTCCACGCAAGAACCTTAATGTGTTGGAGATCTTGCTATGTAACTCGCCGACAAAAGGTAACTGCCTCCTTAATGCACCATCGTCGACTCCAACTATACAAATCACATACACCTCGGGCTATCTTGCCTAGTCTAATAGCTGTAGTTAAACGGCGGGTGGGAGTTGTGGCTAGTCTCTTTCACCCACGCCTTTGTCTTGTCGGATGAGGGAAACAGTCTGTTGTAGAAAATTAGAAGCTTATTGTACAAACTAAGATTGCTGAAACAGTTACTTGTAAAAACATAATTTTTTTCTTTGCGTTAACGTGAAAATGTTCCTGAATAGGTAAATTAAATTCTTTTCAGAAAAAGAATATCTTTATATATACATAAAATATATATAAATATATATATCTATATATCTATACGTAATTATTCAGTTAGAGAAAAAAAAAACTTGGAATTTTTTGCATAAACTAATAATTGGTTTGCACTATTAAATTTAGGGATATGTTGATGGAACCATTTACGAAATCAACCAAAGAGCAAATATAAAATAGAAGACTACTCGAAACGAAGAAGTATATCTCTTGTGTTGGTTTGAAGTGGTGTTATACACTTATAAATTGCGTATTCGTAATTGTAATATGCGAGATTCTGGCCAGCAAGTTGGATTACTTCAGCATCTTCTTTAATTGTAGATGCTTCTGTAGAAAAAAGAAAAGTTTCCTTTATTCGATTTTTGTAACTAATCCAGTGATAATTCAATAAATGCTTTCAGTGTAATTGATACATAGGGCTTGTGGTTGATTCTTAAACTCGATACAATTCAATCTCCCCCGAGCTGTCCTATCTACAATCCCTAGCAGTCAAATAAGTCCTGTGTAAATATTTGAACGCCATACGAATATCAAAATAAAGATGTCACATTGGTTACAATATTATAAAATTTATTTAAATTAAATAAATATATAAGCCTTTAAATTTTATCTCTAGTTGTAAATTGAGTTGAGTAAATATTCATAAACAATTTCACATAATCAGATCTTCAATGAAAACGTATTTGGATTTAATTCGAAAATTTTCCAAGTTGGCCCGAAAATTTCTAATTTATTACTTATCAATGACATATAAACAGGGATTTAAGAGTTATTTATCTGAATAAATATATATAAATATACGCTAATTAATTTAAGAATTTAAGAATTTAATGCTTTAATTTTAGAACGTATTTTATGATAAATTTAATGTTCGTAAAGCCATTTTGTAATTTGTCTTTCGTCTATTGTCACGAAGAAATTCGGTTATTTCAATAAACATATGTCCTCGCGTAGAAATTTTAATACTTATAAATGACACAACTCGCTTTAATTCTTTCGTATGATCCAATTTATAATACAAAGGCATAATACAAATTTACTAAGTTTTAAATTCAAAGTCAGCTTCATCTTTTATAAACAATTTCACTAAATCAGCATCGCTTTTTATAAACAATTCCTTTAAAAATCGACGTATTTAACAGTAAAAAAAAGTTGAAAAATCAATCTAAATTTTCTTAAATATCTCTACTTTTAGTAAGAAAAACAAAGGAGTTAGAAAGAGAAAAATAACTTTAAACAAACATAAATCGCAATCTCCAATCTTGGTTAAAATTTAAAAGGGGGGAAAAGTCGCCATCTTGTAATATATTATCGAAGAGTTAAAATGAAGTAAATGGAAGAAGAAGCGAAAAAAAGAATCGAGTCAAGTAAATTAGTAAGCTGTAGGTAATCTCTTTGTTTTTTCGCCGTTTTCTATTGTAATAACCGCTATGTTTTATTTCTTCATTTTACCTGATTTGATGTAAATATTTACATGGAAATGACTGACGCCGAATAGAGGTAATTTATTCGTCAAATAAGAGCATTGGGAGCCGTGAGCCGAGGGGAGTCGCCAACAGAAGGGGAATAAAGAAGATATAGGCTAAATAGGAGAGGAAGGAGTAATTACCCAGCATTCCAAGCACGGGATTTAGAAAAGCGGCCGGGACAATTTATTCATGAATATGCCAGACGAGCGAGAAATGAATTTTTTCTCCTTTCTTACTGGATAAAATCGTGAGTGGAATGTTTTGGTAAAGGTTTACAGACGATTCAATCGTACGCGGCTCTTTTTTTTCTATTTTTTTTTTTATTTTTCCTTTTTTTTTCTTTCCGTAAAATAAACGCTTCTTACTTTTATCGGTTGATAATTTGAGAAATATATATGCAGCATCCGAGGAATCTTTTAAGAAAAATACAATCACCAACTGTGATTTCTTTATTATTCAATTCTTTTTAACTTTTTACACTTCTCACGCGTGATTAGTCTAACGTTTCTTTATTTTTTAATTTCTATAAAATTACATCCGAGCCAACGAAAAACGAACCGCGTTAAATTTTTTTCAAAAATTAAATAGAAAAAAATTTGAATTACGTCATTAATAGCGATAATCAATTAGAATCATTCTTTCCGCCGTCGTCCAATTAACAATCGTTTTTTCATTTCGATTTCGGTGAGCGTTATGACTCCACCCACCGCTCTACTATTGGTGGATCGGCGGGCATCAACCAATGATTGATTGCGCGGAGAAAGTCGCTTGATTGATATGGAAGGTGATTAAAGTTGCTGGGAGATCTCCCATACGGGGACACGATTCTTATTCCTACTCTCCTGAATAATAATTTTGTTTGATAGTTTTTCTTTTTTTTTTTTTTGTTCTATCAAAAATCGTCGGAGGAGGTCGCGACATTGACAGATTAACATTGCTTCGTTTCGTAAAGGGGATATTAATTTTGAACCATTTTCTGATTTTTCTTCTTTACTTTTATGTTCTAAAAATTTCTTCTAATAAAAACCCTCATTTATTGTCTTGTAATTTCTCTTGACATTTACGAGCCGTGCTATCCATCTAAGTAAGACCGATAGCATAGAAACAATGTTTTTATGAGTAGTTTTCTATTTCTTCCCCCTTTTTAACTAAGCGAATATTACTGACTAAGGGCCTGTAGGCTTTGATAATATCCCTCCCTCACTCAATATATAGATCTATAAAATGTGTATGAAGGTTTTATGGATCTTATATAGCCCGAGAAATTGAAATATTATATCTATAAAAGGTAATATTATGAGAATTAAAGTAGATCCAAAGAAAAAAAAATGTCATCTACAAGTATTTTTGCTTACATTCCAAGAAAAATTGTGTTTATAATTGGTTTTTATGCAAGTTATTACGAGAAATTGGCTTGAAAAATTCATTCGATTATCGAACTGGCGTGTGAAAGTCTCACAGCAATCAACACCAGTTTACACTTCATAAATAAGTTGTAAAGAAAAAAAATTTAATTACCTTTAAGGTTATTAATCTAATTTAAGAGGTCGAGGAAGAAATTGAGAAAATTTTTCCATTAGTCTTTTCTTAATAAATTTCTCTGGGGAATTAATTTAAAGTTATTTTTAATAGTATAATAGAGGAAATATTAAGAGGTAAAACTATCGGAGTGTTCAAAAAATCGTAGAGTAAAGACTTATCTTTACAAACGATACAACATAACTCGAAAGCGTAAGTGCCCAACAACATGTTACGTACTTTCAGACTGGGGTTTAATAAGATTAGGGCTATTGTCGCACATGCCTTACTCGTTCGGAATATCCACACCATGTGTTACTCACGGCTCTGGCTTTCCACAAAAATTTATGATTTCAACATTGGACACGTGAACTGGTATAATTCACGGACCGCGTTACTCGTCAGCCAGTGTCGTGAAAGACAGCTGACACAGAGGCCCTTTTTGCCGCTGTTTTCCCCCCATCACGCGGAAAGATATAGTTGTAGTGTTCAAAAAGTGGAAATTTTGATTACAATAGACAAGCTAACAAAGTTGTGTTTTTCCCGTCACTTTAAACACTGTTCGTTCATTTCATGTTTTTATTGTTTCTGACTTAGGAAAGCTCTGTTAAATGGGGCAAGACGACGTGTAAGTCGTGATTAACATGTATTGTAGCGTGAAACAATTGCAGCTCCTTCGGATACGGGAACTGTGACGGGCTCGAGAGAAAAAAAAATATCGAATTTTTACACTTTGATGGTTATATTCATAACTTATATGTCGGAATATTACAAAATTACTTCACTAGTTAAATCTTATTTTCACAAATCTAAAAATAGAAAAACACAAGTAAAGACCTTTTAGAGATTTTAGTGAAGGAAATAAAATGACAAATATGCTGGAATTTTCGATAAACGAAAATAAATGTTTTATGAAAAGTTTATTAACTTATCAGAAATTTACTTGACGTTTTCTAAAGAATTGTTTTATTTCACGTAAAGCGATGGCATTCATCAAATAAAAATGACTTTTATATCAAGCATTTATAAAATATAATGTTTAATCATGGCATGTATAACGCATTAAAAATTAAAATCTTGTTAAATATTTAATAATTCATAATAAAAAACTCGTAAATTTACGTATTATAAGTGTTGGAAAAATTAAAAAGAATTTTGAAATAACAGGAAAAAAAAATCACTTCAATTTTTTTTTTATTAAATTCTAAATGTAAGCTTATTCTTTAACAATTGTGTCTCCCCCTCTTAGAATAAAGTGTCAAAATTATTGAACAATAGAATGAATGGATCTCTATAATCAGATTACAAAATGGCTGCAGCATTCACGAACCACACGATTAAGGAGACGTCATGACATGAATATGCGAGCAATCAGTGCTAGGAGGATTTAATGGAACGAGAAGCGAGACTAGAGTTAAAACGATCGATACTCTGGACTGATAATAACATGATTTTCATCCAACTTCATTATACCCACTCCGATGATTTGTGTTTAGACCGCCAGAGGCGCTGATAAGAAGCTACCTCATAACGTCTTAATAAATTTACAGAAAATATATTATAAAAATTTAATTTAAAACAAACTTTCAAATATTCCTACATTTAAAAAGTTGAATTTTTTATTCCTTTAGCACCGTTTCTAATTGTCTCGATTTGTAGAGGAACTATGAGACTTTTTAGTGGCCAAACATCTGTTGAGAAAGGCTACGTGTGTCGAGTACAGTAGCATTGTTAATCTCGTCTTCCTGTATGTGCCACCTGGTGCTGTATACGTAAATTACGCCAGTGCTCTAAATTAGAAAGCTTATAAATCATCTTCCCTAGTGCCACTATTATTATTATCATCATTAAAAAATTCCGGATTATATTCCGAATTTTATCTCTTTCCAATAAGTTAATTTCCTTTATATATTCGTATAAACTGTAAAAGTGATTTTTGCTTAATTTTACGTGGAGGAATCTACTTGTTGCTCCAGTAGCTGTTGCGCGTTATATACGATCACCTCTTAAATTTCCTTTAATTTTTACTTTCTCTGTAGCGCTCTTTAAATCCATTCTCGTATATTCTTCTCCAATTTATATATAGGGCCTACAGTATATATAAATTCGGTATTGTTTATGGAGTGTCTCCTCGTTGCATATTTTAAATTTCTTGTAAAATATCTCACGCGTTGAAGAATCTAAGATTTTTCTGGTGTGGGTTGTGAAAGATCCTGCGCCTGTCCCCACTCTTTTCCATCAGTCTAATGGAAGCTGTGTCTAAAAAGGTTGGCAGAGCTTGACATAGCTTAAAGCGATTTTTATCAAGCGTACAGTTTCGGGGTTTTCTTGCATATCGAGAAGGTGAGAGAGGCGAAAGGCGTAGGAGAAATGTTAGAATAAAATGGATACTAGAAGACATGCATTTAAATATGGTGAC